GGAGGAGGAGGAGGAGGAGGAGGAGGAGGAGGAGAAGGAACCAGGCACAACTTATTTATTTACCCAGAGAAATCTCGCAAAATCCAGCAAAATATTGTCTCTCTGTGGCAATGTATATATGGCAGTAAATATCTGTAGAATGCAAAAATCTGTATCGGCACTATTTGGTATGCCACAAAGTTCATTCAACGTACCTGGCTTGGCTAGCAAATTAGTAACGAGGCTCAGCTTAGCCTTAGAGCTCAGAAACGCAGTTAATCCAGAATGCAGTGTTCCACCATTACCCATTAACTACTACTGATTACTCTCATTTACACTACCATGGAAACACAACTTTTTATAAGTATATATATTGAGGCATTTTTCTGGGTAAATAGAGTTACACCTAGTTGTAAGGGCTGGCAATTTGAATGAGTGAACACTGGGTTACAGGCAGATACAAAGTTGGATGTGCTTGTTTGTGTATTTGTACTGTGATAGTTTGTAACATAGCAAGCGGGGGTATTAAGCGGTTTGCAAATCTGTCGCTCAGGCTTTCCCACCTGCTCAATCCTTTTGTGATTTTGTACACATTGGCCCGAGTTCATTTAGGTGGCATTCTGTGGAGGAGTATGTCAATGGTGTTTATGTGAAAGTATTATGTGATACAGATAATAGAGTAATCAAATATTAAAATTTGGTAGTAAATATAATTTGTATATTTACTATAATTATATTATTGGAACAGCCCATGTGCACGTGGCTCAGCTGCTTGTGTTAGCATATATCTACACAACTACTGGGGTTAGAAATTACGAGCAGCAAGCAGCAGTTTTGCTGCCTACAAGGGTCAGTTTGCTGGCTGCTCTCAACGTCGGCAACAAATACCTGCTGCCAAGATATATTCCCAATAAACCACAGTAAAAGCAGCAAAGATTCTGCCTGGGTGGGTTTATTTGCTGCCGGCCCTTTTCTCTGGCAGCAAGTACTTGCTTGGTGAAAACATTAATTTCTCACCCTGTACTACATATGTAGTGTGGTGAAGTGAGCGTATGTATGAGAATAACTATGACAGAGTAGTACTTTGGTCTGTCACAGAGCTATAAAACACAGTAAAAAGAACACTAAACAGGAAAAAACGTGTGGCTTTAGCCCGCCATTCTAAACTCAACCCCAACTCACCATAACTTGACCAAATTGGGCTGTTTATCAAATGCAAGCGATCGTATGAGCAAAATTTACAGCCATAGTTATAAATTGAGACAGCAGCGGCACGAGTGAGTGTGCATTCTGATTCTGCATTTCATACATGGTTTCGCCTTACTTTTCTTTATAACCCTGTGACGGAGCGAAGGGCTAGATATACTAGGGTGATACTCCATTAGGAGTGTTCCCAACTTTAATGTCATTAATGGTCATAATAACATATATATATATATATATATATATATATG